GGGGGGGGGGGGGGGGGGGGGGGTATGTGCCGGCTGGAAATACAGAGACACCTGGGGAGACTTCAAGGTGAGAGACTGGAAAAGATCTGTATATGCTTATTAGACATATATGTTTCAATTTCTGCACTAGAGCAGCAATGAGAAATGGTTTCTGTGAAAATTATTGTTTTCAAATTGCAGGTCACTATTTAAGTCTGAATGTATATAACTGGCAGGTTTCCATTCCCTTCCATTTGCTATTTATTTTTGAAAGACAGATCGGTAACACTTTACTTGACGGGGCACAAATACTTAATATTAATTCAGTTCCTACTGAAGTAAAAATCATGAACAAATATAGTTGATACTTGATATGTGTCACAATTCATTAATGATAAACAAACATGAGATCGGTATTACACTTGTGTTATTCAGAACTTGTTCCTTTAGTAGTTACTTAGTAGTAAACAAATATAGTAACTGCTTGGAATAAAACATGCATCACAATTCATTAATGATAAATTAACATGAGATCAGTATGTAACTAAGACTTACCCCATCACGTAAAGTGTTACTGACAGATCTACTGATGAAGTACTTTTGCTGATTATGCACTGAATTTTTGGTCATTATTACATTTGTATGCTAGGTTGTATATTGAATTAACTGACATTGTCCAGGTATTTATTACAGAGCTATTAACCAAATTATGTTAATTGAAGGACCAAACATTTGCAGTTGTGAATGTTGTTTGTGGGTCTTTCTTTAAAAACTGTATCTTTCAAACTGTATTTATTCCTTACCTCTCGACCCTCCATAGGACAAGCAAGTATAGAAAATGGATGGATGGATGCGTGCTTGAGTTTATGGCAGGTGTGTGATTTTAACTGTGAACCATACATTAGTAGAATACGGTGGCCCTCTTGTGGCTGAGCACTGATATAGCAACTACATCTTTTTTCGCATCTGCCAAGTTGTTCAGGTTGTGCGGTGTGTTCATTTGTAGTCAGCGGTTATCTGAGCAATTCAGATTGTGTCCGTTGGTGATCGTGCATGACAAAAATGATCGCGTTATGAAATATATAAGAAAAGACCGTCATACTTTAATATATATGTTTTTTATTTTATAAAGCTTTCTTTATACCTATGGAACATTGTATTACAGATCCACCATAAAAATATACAATTGTATGACTATTACATTTACAAAAAATAACAACAAAATAATCTTTTCAATCAGTCAATCAAAAAAAAAATAAAATAAACAGAGCATGTGGTTTGATCATTAAGAGATACCCGTATGAGAAGTCATAATACTTTCCTTTGTTATCCCTGCATTCAAACATATATAAACAAACACAAATAAAGCACGGGGGAGGGGTGGAGGGGGGGGGGGTCAGTGCTCACAAAGCTTTGTGTTCCATCATTAGCACCAAGACTCTGCACATGCTGTGTTAACACCGGCGAACGTGTGGGGGCTGCTCCAGAGAGCCTGTCCTGCTCAGACTCTGCGTGGGCCGGGATTGTCTCTTACGCAATTCTGTTAGTGTTTTTTTTTTCCCTACTGGGAAAAAAAAGGTCAAAACACACTGGCGGGTAATGCTTAGCCGAGGAGCGTGACCCCCGGCGCGGGGGATACTTTCGCCATAACTGCCTCCAACAACAGCCTGTTAGTTTGCCTCGAAGCGTAGAAACGAAAGTGACTATCAAAGAGGTCGCAAGACTTGTAGCTTTAGCAATTAGCATTTATATAATACCTGTAATATATAAATCCTGCAGTAAACACTTTCAATAGGCAAGAGACAACGGTTACAAAAACAAAGTAAACACACTGAGTATATAGTCTGATTGTCTGTCTTGACTTGTGCATTAGATTTTTTTTTCGTATGACCTTCCTCGATGATCCCTGATATGTCCAGGTGACATGTGATAAGTAGAAGGGACTGTCTGCTTTCTCGGCGTTCCCAGGAAGCAGCGAAAGCTCTGTGGTCACATGCCTGCCACCTCGCCAGCTGCAGGAGCGCTGTCGCTGAATATTCGCTGTTCTCCTCTCTCCTCCCAGCTGCTCAGCGGACGATCGTGTTCCACAGCAGATGGGGGGGGGTGGGGGGCAGGGGGGGTGGCAGGAAGCGGTTACCGGCTACTGCTGCCCTCCACGTTTAGACACGGCAGGGAGATACCGGGGGGCGTATCCCGGCAGGAGCTCGGGGGCTGAGCAGTGCCGCTTTCGAGCCGGCTCCGCTTGCCTGGGAGGCTGGGCGAGGTCGCGAGAGAGTTCCGGAGCCGGCAGAGGGGGGGGCGTCGTCGCAGGTCTCTGCTGGCCGGACTTGGCTCCTTCCTTGGCGTTCGTACACCGGGTCGTGACTGCCAGCTCCAGTGCAGGGACGCTGGCACGCGACGCTGAGGCAGATGCTGGGGCTGATGGGACTGGCGTGAGGGCCAGGCAGACGTCGTCTACGCTGAGCTGGCGGCACGTGAGGCCGTACAGCTGCGCAGTTCTCTGAGGGCTGCAGGAAGACCAGCCTCGGTCCCGGACGAAGAAGGGGTATTCGGCTAAGACTCTGAGTAACTCCTGATGGCCCAAGAAACAGAGGAGATGTTAACCTGAAAGACATCTGTCATTTCACATGCACCGTTTCAGAGACAACCACAAAACAAGGCCGGCAGGATTCGTCAAGAACGACTGCCAATGTGAAGCTTTAATTTACCAACGTGGATGAAAATTGGGCAAAAATGAAGCTGAGAGCTGGACAGCACCCACCTGAGTGTTGCGGTCAGCCAGCAGGAGCTGTAGGTTGTAGAAGCCTGGGTTTGTGCTGCAGGGGGCGATGAGTAGGACGGTGCAGAAGCACAGGTGCAAGTCCGGGCTGCTGCTGGCGCAGAGCATGAAGTCCTCGGTCTGCAGCTGTTCCACGGGCCGCAGCCGCCCGCCGCTGAGCTCGATCAGCGACCCCTTGGTGAAGTGAGGTAGGAACGCCACCGGCTGAGGCGCCGGGGAGGACCCGGGCGATGGAGTGCGCTGCAGAGCGGCTGGATCGGCGTGTGACCGGTGCCCCCCAGACGACGAGCGCGGGCACGGCGGCCCTGGCTGGGGCTGCCCTCGATCAGACCTGTGGTTGTTGAACTGAGCTGAAGGGAACCCTTCCAGCGACTGGTTCTCCACAAGCGGTGAGAGCCGTGAGCCCCTCAGGCTGTGGGGCTCCCCGGGGGGGTGGCCGTAGAATGGGACGGGGGAGGCCTGGGCCAGGGGACTCTGCAGGGCAGGGGCTAGTGGGGACGGCATCAGGCTGGTCTGCATGGGTCCCAGGGCATAGTAAATCTGGGCCGCACCGGGGGGGCCTGTTAGGTCAAAGCTTTCCCGAGAGGGGGCCCTCAGAGGTAGACCAGGGAAGGCGCTTTTATCCAAGGTGTTAGCAGACGTCTTTGGCGTCACGCAAGAGTCCTTGTTCTGCGGTGAGCAGCGTCCACCAGGCATGTCGGCCGCCCGACCATCCTTAGTCACGGGCCGGCTGAAGGGCCTGTGCTCCTCTGGGTACCTCCTCTTCCCGTTGGTGTGAGAGTCGTCCTGCTTGATCTTGCCATCGTAGAGATAGTTGCCCGCGGCCGGTAGTCTCAGAGCCGGCGCACTCCTGCCGCCCGCGGCGTCCAGGCCGTTGTGCTTCCTCACCATGAAGGCCCGCCTCCCGTCCAGGTGGGGGTCTGCGTACGGTAAGTGTCGGGAGTAGTGCTGCTTGAACTTGTCTACGTTGCAGTAGGGCCACATGTCCCTGGAGTCCAGGGGAGGGTGGCTCTTGTAGGGGGCGGAGATGACCGGGTGATGCAGGGACAGTGCCGGCTCACTGCGTGGCCACCGGGAGTGGTGCAGGCTGCCGTCAAGGGCCTCCGTGCCCGGGGAGCACTGCTCTTGCCACGAGTGCAGCTTGGGGCCGCACCGCTCACCCGTCTGGTTGGGGAAGAAGTGGAAGGGCAGAGGCGTGGGGCTGGGCAGGGGCCACGGTATGGCAAACTTGTCTGGGGGCGGGGCCGGGGGCGGGACATGGAGGAGCCCTTTGCCATAATGAGGGCTGGGGAGGGGCCCTTTCGGATACCCCTGGGGCTCTGTCTGCCTGGCCCCCACGGGCCGGCTCCTGAGGGGTGCGGGAGACTTAAATTCGTCCGGAGGGCGCTGCTCGCATAAGCTCTGTCTGGACTCCCTCTTCTTGGGAGGGAGGCACTCTTTGGCGCGGTCGGGAATGGAATTCATCAGTGTGTGCCGGCAGACGTGAGCACTCCCCCAGGTTGTGCCGCGACTATGTCACATGAGCCTCCTGGGAGAAGGAGAGGCTCGGCGGGGGCACTGCTCCGTGGCTCAGCATCACGCGACGGGGCCAAGGCGCTCCTGTCCAATCGGCTCCTAACCTGGAAAGTAAGCGCGGGCGGGACAAACAACGGCGTCAAACAAGCGCCAACACGCACTGCACTGCGGGGCTGCTCTCTCAGATCGACCCCCCCCCCCTGGCACGACTGTCCTTCATACCCCCCGCTGAGTGGCACTGTGGCACCCCGTGGCTCCCTGTCGCCAGCTAACCTTCACGAACGATGCCAACGTGTCGCTCACACGCCAGGATACGCCTCCGTTCCCCAACAGCGCCAAACACGCAGGTGCTCAACCTCAAAAAAAAAAAACCGAGATCTGAATGAGGCTGGCAGAGAGACAAGATAATAAAGCCTACAGTCCTCCTCAGTGTTACGCTAACCTTTCGTATCGCTGCGCTATTCCTCAGGGATGGCAGAGGTAAAAAATAATAAATGGGCGGAGCCAGTGGCTGCGCTGAGCGCCGTGCAAGGCGGCAGCTCCTTTTCGCTTACCTCCTTACTCTCCCTCAGGGGCTGCTCCCTGACCGCAGGCTACCGCCTCACTCACCTAGCAGGAGCGCATCGGCAAGGGATTACCCAGGCGCACAAATGCGGGTCTCGGCACAGAGGAGTCCCACCAATTTCTTCAATGCACCAAATTTGCCGCTTTGATGTGACTGTGCCGCTGAAGGCACATCTGGTCTTTTCTCTGCCGGAGACGGCTGTCTGCCCAGTCTGAACTCCGGCAACTCTTACAGTCTCACTAAGTGATGGTTACTATGGAAACAAAGTACTTATATATATACAGCCGTGAGGGTTACGCAGGGATATGCTGGGGAAGAGGAGCTCGCTGCATGCAGTGGAAACGTCAACAACAAATCCATGAAATACTTTATTCACTCTATCAATCTATCAATTACAAAGTAGCTCTTGGTTTTAGAGAGGAACGCAATTGCCATTCTGTCGTTGTAAAACGCCTAATATCTGCAGGTACATCCAGGCAGGGGTACATCCAAACCGGATCCCCTTGAAACCAGTCGCTCACTGTCCTGAAAATCCCTGCAACAGGCCAGTCGACTTAAATCACTTCCTGCGTGTCCCCCAGGAAGGTGGGAATGCCCTGCAGGGGGGCAAAGCGCAGCATACCTGTGATTGGAGGAGTGGGAGGAGCCTCTGACTGGAGGAGTCACTTGTTTCTGACGGCCAGTATGTGCCTGACAGACGGATAAAAGGTACACGTTCGATCTCTGAACATCAAGGAGGGATTACCTGTTCTGAAACATCCCGGGGTCCTGTGTTACGACTGAGAGCCGAACGCAAGCAAACTGTCGTGGGTTTTAATCAATCACACGTTAAAAGATCATTTCCTCAGAATGAATCCAGTATATGATCATTTTAGTGTTTGTGTTAAATGTAAGATTCCTTCTCAGAAACTATTAATCCTTAGAAGTGATTGGCCTATCTTTGTTAAAATGCTTGTCAGTAAAAGTACATGTATAAATAAAAGTGAAAACCCACAATTGTCATAAGCTATGATAATAGGCAGCAATAAAGTCTCAGAGAACTTGAAGGGGGTGCTTCGGGGATCAGCTGACTCATGAACACAGAAAGACGGGAGGGCTACTGCACTAAAATTTGTGTTTTGTTTATATCAAAATGTGTTACAGTACGAAAACTTCATTCTTAAGCATGATGCTTAAGACTTACAAGAAATTTATTGACCTATATACAGTTTCTGAGAAGGAATCTTGCATTTAATAGGAACACTAAAATGACTTGTAAATGATCTTATAATCTATGGTAAAACGATCAGATGTCAGATTATATGTACAGATTATATAATCTGTACAATGAAAACGAAAAACTAAAATGTTAAAAATACAATAAACCTTATGTCACATGAGTTTCAGTATGGGATATGAACATTTACATTGAATTTGAGTACTAAAAAATCCTTCTGAATATGAATTAGAAAGCTTTTCGAGCCGCTGCAGCAGTGACATCTGGCAGATTCTCTCACCGATGCCCACCACTGTAAGCCCTCTTCCAGATAAAGTACATATGTGAGCCTCCTTCACATCGAAACGAAGGAACTCTGGGGCCACATCCACACGCAGGCAGCTACGCAGCTGCCACTGCATTCTTAGGTGTGTGTTGTTCAGCTATGAGAACAGCAACATGAAACAGCCCCTCCCCCCCCCGGCATTTCAGCTGACACGACGTTCTAGGCAACCCAGGGAACAGCTTCACTCGGCCGGGATATTTCTAGATATGGGAAGATGCACCATTTCCTGACAGATTTGCAGGCAGTCTTAGGCTCTTTCACGCCCCCTGACACATTCTACATTAAGCAGAAGCCACTGTGGAGCTGAATCGGATTGTTTGGGAAGTCATTTTGATTTGCCCAACAGAGCAGAGCGTCCAGAGAAACTTGAGAATGAATCTAAAGGGCGTGCATCCTGTCACATTCTGTGATTTTTCACTCAGTTAAAATGAATAACAGTTCTAAGGGGGGGGGGGGGAACTTCTATTTTTTGCAGCTAAATCTGCTGTTCAGTTTACAAGTTTTGCATTCATGCTTGTTGCAGAGATTTCGTTCAAAACATGTCCATATAATTTAAAAGTCCCTGACGGTACGTCGTATTTCCTGCACGGACGTTCACTGTTGTGAATCCATCTTGTTTACATGCATCCAGTGCAAACATACAAAGATACCGGGCATCTTTTTTTGACACTCGATCTAAAACTCGATCGGTCACCAGATCTCTTCCTTCCTTAAAGGTATGCAGGTTTCTGTTGTTCGTGACTGATTCAGAGTTGGTGGAAATATAAGGTTTCCCCCGGTGTGGAGCACTGCATCGCATCGGTTTGCAGTAAATGACCTTGGCATTAGGTACTACAATAGCAGTCAGAAAGCTAAGCATGTCACTAAAACAAACAGCAGAAAACAGCACGGCCTGAAATATCGCAGTCAACAGCGTGGCAGTGCCAGGGCAGGAGGCTCCGGCACGGGAAGAGACTTCCTCAGTGCCGCTCCTAGAGAGGAGGTGATGAGGAATACGGCAGACAGAGAGAGGCCGCGAGCGTGATGCGGCCGTCTGTACCTCCGCCGGTCCGTGACTGTACAACCGGTTCCAAGGAAATGAGTAACAGGCAGCGATGAGGAGAATATCAGCTCCGCAGTGCCACTCAGCGAGACCATTTGCTCCCGCCGCCCACTCGCCATTACTCACCGCGAGAGGCACGGCGCGCGCTCACACCCGTACACCGTGCCGTCTGGTCCGCCGGCGCACGGGGCCCCGTATGCACATGGCTGCCCGCTCCCACCGCCACGCATACGCCACCTGGCTGCGGCGAAAGCAAGTGACAGACGGGGATGGTGGCTGCAGTAGGGGAGGTGTTCGGTCCACGCTGTAGTGGTGCCCCGGCCACTGAGTCAAACCCAAACTCTGCTGTGCGCCTCACAGACCTGCTCCCCATCTGGGTACGAGGCTATCTTCAAACAGCAGTTATCTCCATGACCTTTAAATGGATGCTGACTTCTGAGAGGTCTCTGAATAAGCTTGGCCCATTAACTAGGCCCTGCTGTTTCTACCCAGGCAGGGCGGGCTTTCGGGAGGTGGGAGGGTGAGGAAAGGGACTGAAATAAAATGACTTCTGCTGGCAGTGGCTATATCCCCACCCACTGTCTCATTTTTTTTTTTCTTCCTTATTTAGAAATAAATCACCATGTTACTACAACATATTACTACACCAGCTCACACCTCAGGTCCCGGCTGGACGGTCACTGCCCACATGACAGTTCTCTCAGCGGCAAACTTAAATTAGCACAGTGACGGCCTTCATCTCCGAAATACATTAAAGTCATAAGGACATGTTAGTCATGAGCTTACGATACAGCTTCACAGGTACACGTTCTGAGCGGGAATGGCTTCCTGATAAACGTTAGACACATCGGGGCCTCTCATCCGATGCATCGCAGCTTTCAGACGCGGCATCCGGATCGTCAGGAGCTCTCACACTTACTGTAGGAGGACGGCAGCGGCAATGCAGCTGGGGTCCTCCTAGACATGGGGGGCACGTCCCAATCCGGCAGCGTGGCTCATGGACAACAGCCAGACGGACTCTGAGTGCCGCGGGACCTCAAGTCGCCCATTTGTGTGATAGAGCCCCACATCCATTCTCTTCATGCACAAACATCAGTCTGACTAATGCTCACCTCCCACATCCTTAACAATGTTTTGACACTCTGCTTCGCACATTTCTTTCCATACTGAACATCCTTTAAACGGAGCCACCAAAGAACTTATAATGACCGTGACTGTTACAAGTGACTCCTTTACTTCGCAGTTCCTTAAATAAATTCAAAGGTGGAACGTTCAGGTCCAGAAATTATAAACCAAATGTGTGGAGCTTCTCTCAGCATCTACCAAAACTGTTTCATTGATAGATGTCACTCAAAAGGTTTTACAGAAACCAGTTGAGACTGTGACTTTATACTCAGCTGGTTGATTAAATCAAAACCTTGGTCTGGATTTTTAAGTTCTGGACCTTGGAGTGACTCTGTTATACTCTCTGCTTCTGCATTTTTATCCAATAAATTCATGCACAACAACAACCTTAAACAACAACATTAAATGAACTTAATTAGAGAAAAATGTAATCATCCAAATGTAATTAATAAAAGTCTATTTAAAAATATATTTCAAAACATTTCCAGTAATCAGTTAGAAACGATTCTAACTGATTCTATCTGCACAGCAAGGTTTAATACAGGAGAAACGTACATCTTCATGTTCCCCTTACTTCAGGACTCATCATTAACCTGCCTGAGGCAACACAGAGCATCAAAATTGATAAAGTTCTCCATACTGCTGCTTGATGCATTTGCAAATACACAGGAACTTTGTATGGTTTATATAATCCCCATGGGTGTCAATTATGAGAAAAAACTTCATATAAACAAATTTAAAAATAATAATATAGGTTTACGTGTTGTGCGAATAAGCTGCATGGACCAATGAATCATAAAGCAAGTTAAAAAAAAATCTTTGAAATTGAATGAAAATCATTACTGAAATTATGCTGAGTAAAAACTGACCCATTAGATCAATAACAAGTTGTATCAAGTGTTTAAGTGCTCGCTTGAAATGACATCCCGCCCAAACACTCGGATATCTGCGCGTTTATTTTAATAGATGGAAAAAGGAAGAGTAGCAAAGTCAAAGAAAGCTCTGATGATCACAGAATTATGCTGAGATGATTCTTACCAGCTGCTAAAGTAAAAAAAAAAACACAGTTCAGAATAATATCAAAGACATCAATCAGAGTCCCCAACAGTAGAGATAATAGTAGAAATATCGTAGAGAGTTGTGGAGATAATGCTAATGATAGGAATATGGGACGGCCTGAAAGAGTGGTTCCTTTTGGTTTGGTGTTTTGGGTAATAAAGCTCGACATTAGCTGGTTGATTTGTGTAACTGAAACCTTAAAGGGCATCGTAAAGCCCGAGATGTGCGATAGCCGATTCGCGCTGCCATCTCTGTGGGAATCGCGTTTCTACCATCGCTGGAACATCACAGATGCTGACTGTCAAAGTCACGCTGAGGTGAAACTGCTTGAGTTTTGCAGGCCCCCACCCCCTGGCCACCTACGTTATGCAAAACACACACTAACTGCACAGACAGCGGGTCGGGGCGACGGGGCGACAGTGGCCGTCGCTGAGGGATAAAATGGCTTTCAGATGCGTAATCAGCAACATGACATCAAAACTGGACAGATAGAACCCCCCCCCCCCACCTTTTCCTCCAGAACCACTTCAAGGGTAGAGAGTTTTGTGTTCAGAGGAGTCTTTCTGTGCACCACTGCTGTACTGAGCTGTTTTGCACAATGTTGCTTTTTTTTGTTAGATTTAACGAATCTGGCCGTTCTCCTCTGACCCCTCTCATTAGCAAGGGGTTTTCGCCCACAGAAATGCCATTGACTTGATGTTTTTTTTGTTCATCTCACCATCCTCTGTAAACTCTGAACACTGTGGTGCATGAAAATCCCAGGAGGGCAGCTGGTTCTGAGATGCAGCGACCGCCATGTTTGGCACCAACAATTACAGCACGTTCAAAATCGCTCAGATCACGCATCCTAGCCGCTCAAATGCTTATTCGAACAGTAACTGAATATCTTGACCTTGTCTGCTTGCTGCATGTATTGAGTTGCA